GAAAGAAAAAGACATAGCAGTCAATTTTCTAAACATCTATGATATTCAGTTCATTAGGCTTGTTTTCTCCTTTCAGACTGCTGTCTTGAGTGAGTCAGTTTGAAAATACTGTTCCTCTTTTTCAGGTCTTAAACAACTATTTCTGCATTTCATTTATTACCACATGAATCAGCTGGTACTTACCATTTCTGACCGTATAATGGACAACAGCATTAACTGGCAAAGCGTTAACGTCACGTTGAAACAAAATTCGAATTCCGACAGAAAGTTTTTCTCTTCCAAGCTCAACCGAACACGTAGAATCAACAACTGTCTTTCAGGAAACGGAAAAACAATACTTCTGCAACAGGCCCAAGATAGCGCATAATTTCAACCCATCCAATCTCACAAAAGTGCTCATTCCTGAAAGATTACAATCTAGAGCCTATACCAGATAAACTGTGCACAAGGCAGGATTTCACCTTGGAAGGCACGTGAGTCCAACACAAGGCACACATCCAGGAGACAATATAAAGACACTAATGAGCCAAGCCAGTGTGTCTTTTTTTAAAGTTGTACAAAACCAGATCACCTGGAGAAAATCCACATAGCCAGTGAAAGAACACAGAAGGCACCCCAGTCCAGAATCCATCCCAGGACCCAAGAGCTGTGAGGCAGCAACAGTAACCCACACTTCTGTGCCACCTGCAGCATAACTTTACAAAGGAAAATCTGAACAAAAACCAGAAAACACTTTTCATCTGGCTGGGACATCATTAATGTTTACAGAGGTCATTTTAAGTTTTTAGAATTTCTTTCGAATAATAACAAACATCACTTTAATCAGACGTTCCCCCTTTTTTCTGTTTGCGACCCCGTTTCACCAACTATTCTCTTTCTAATTAGACATGCTCTAATCGGTCTTTGCTGAGCTGAGCAAAGCATGTTTGAACAGGCTGGGGTGCAATCCTGCACAGCTGAGGAGCTTTGTTGTTTCTCCTATGGAATTCAAATTCTGATTTATGTAACCTGGATGTCTGTGAAAAATATGAAAATGCATTTATCATTCAACTTAAGGACATTTAGTAATAACATTTACTACATTTTCACATTTACCTGTATACGGTAGATAAATTCCAGTATGCTCAAATAGCACTGTAAAAACATAAATACAGCCACAAAACAAACCAAACTAGGTGATTTAGAACTTATAACTGTGATCTTTAGGGAGGAATTTTATATGCTTCTAATCTTTGACATGAACTGAAGATTTTTCATATGACTGACCACTTAATAGAACTCAGTGGTTTCTCAGTTTGGCAGCAAATCGTTATGCAAATCCTTGCAGGCTTTTTGTTGAGGTGATCTTCACTTGAAGCAATTTAGAAGATTAATTTCTATTTCAAGTGAGCAACTGATATAGCTTCTTACTTTAATGCCTCATTCTGTGAATTTTTAATCAAAGTCTAGTTTTAATCAGAGCTTGTACTAGAAATGAGCTCAAACCACTCCTATGATTTAAATTAAATACAGGAAGAACATTCTCTGCCTCATTTCATTCAGGTCTTGATAAGCCTGCTTGCACACCAAGTCATTAGTGCAAATTAAAGAGATTAATTACCGAGCAGGTAAGTGGCAATGAATACTATAAAGCCTTCAAGGTATCTTTCCACTCTCCTAAAGAACATAATTGCAGAGGTGAGCATCTTTATAAACCATGTTAGCACTCTGGATCAACTGAAAACACATCTAACGAATTCTGAATTCTAGCTCCAGGTTGTCTTAAGGACTTACAGCATGAGTATAGGGAGTATAGGTCAGCCCTGAAATTGATTTCAGCTGATACAGGCCTTGTTACTCAGCTGAAGACCAGACTCCACACTATGGGTGTTACAGCTTCCCTGTGTTCAGCACCACCTCTGTGGTGCTCACTGCTCAAAACAGTCTCTTGAAAAGTTATCATTACACTATAGCTTTTAATGTGGAGTTTAGCTGTATATTTTACCAAAGAACACCATCAGCTTCTGATATGTCATTATTTTGCTTCTACTAAGCAAGAACTATTTATAGTCATAATCATATTAACATATTAAAAAAAGATTTTATAGGTACTGTCCCCTCCTCATGTTTTGAAGATAATATCGAAGGTAGAAAATATATTTGGCCACATTCTATAAGAAATCAGCCAGAAAATTGATTTCAATAATAGCAGGATTTCATCTTAATCTCTCAGACTAATTCCACCTGTGTCACAAGCCTGCGGGAGGCACAAATCCCAGGGCTCATTGACCAAGCTGGCGGGGAAATTCAGTATGGGTGTGTTGGGGGGGGTGAGGGCAGTGAGCAAGGTTGACCGGGATTAAAAATGCACGCAAGACTGAATTCATCACAGGTAACCGTAACAAAGCCATTTGAATAACCCTTGTCAATAAAAAAAAAATCCTTCCATTTCATTAAAAAAAAACAGTAACAGTAAAAGAATACACCAGATATTCCCCTTTCATAATCATGTTAAATGAAATATACAGGAGAAGAAGAAATATAATTCCTGACAAGAAGAAAAATGAATAGCGTAACTTTACACATATGTTATTTCAATGTTAACATTCTGTATGCCACACACTAGTAGCGAGTCGTGTATCATAAAAAACTAGATGATTTCCCTCACTCTCTGCGGTCTTTGTGTCAGTTATGCCTGAGACACATAAAACCAACGCTAACACCTGTGTCCAACTGCCTACAGTGACCTTTTTCATCCTCTCTCTTTTGGACCCAACTAACAAGATTAATTGGTGTGCCATATCTTTGCCCTAAAAAGCAGTGACAACATTTCATTCACACCATCTTCTGTAGTAAGACAACCCTACTGTATCTTTGAGACACATAACGCGAATGGCCAGTTTCATTTCGCATACAACTCAATTCAGCAATATTGTCTATAATTTTTTTAATCCATTTAAAGGAGCACACAGCAATTTAAACCCAGTTTTAAGCCTTTTAATAATGTTACAAAGTACACTGCTGCATTTTTTATGGTTTTATTTAAATTATTTCAAATTATTTAATCTCCAGTCACTTAACATACAGTATATCCACCAGCTGTCAGGCTAAAGTTAATTTTTCTTAAGGCAGAATGCAAATGCAGGAATAAAAGCATTCCTCATTATGAAAAATAATTAGGAAATACCCAAAGACAAATATTTAAACATACTGTATATTGCTAAACATATAGACATGATCAATCATGTGTTTCAGTTCACATTAGACCAGAAGCGAGATCACAGTGTAAATAGAGCAGAACTGAACTGTGGTAAGCTGTGCCTAGATCTACGCTAACAACAGATTCATGTAGGAGTTTACATTTACTTGACTGCATTGTTATTCTAGCTCTGTTACTATGTGACAGCTCTGTAACTAATCATCTTAATTAATCATTAAGACACACTGCTTATTGTCTCCTGTCCCAGTCTGAAAGAGCAGTCACTAAAGGTAGTCTTTTAATAGTCAATAAACTGTTTGCCAGCCGGGAGGATAATTTAGGGTTACATCCTAAACAACTTTCAAAATAATGAACTGTTATACAAAGTGTACATTACTACTACAATTTTAATCATTCTGATGAATATGAATCATATCCTCCTCTGTGATATTTATTATACAACTGTAAACACAGCATGCTGTTCCTGTACAGCTCTCATGTGTGAAGTCTCACCAGAAGCAATGTGAGCTGGTTTTCCGCCTTGAATTACAACTCTGGACAGGCCCACCACTCCCCTAACCTGACACTGCAGTTCCCCCGCTTCGGCTACCCACTCTGAGGCAAACTCCGAGTGACTGAAAATCATTACAATCAGAGAGCGAATAAGTGAAATACCCGCTTGTTGTCAGGTGAGTGCAAAAGAAATCCATTTTTCATACAGTCAACAACAGTAACACTCGTGTTCTGGGAATGCTCAAGCAGAGAAGGAGAAACAGTTCTTCTGCCTGTGATGCCCAGTACGGTCACAATGAAAATGAAAAAAAAAACATTTATTATAACAAAATGGTGCTATATAAAACTATAAAAATTGTATTATATATATACACATTTATATATATATATGAAATTAAAAACGGTTTTGACACAGAAAATCTATCAGAAGTTACAGTACAGTCAGAAGAATCTTAGAGTCAAAATAAAGAGTCTTTATTGATAGGCTCCAACCCGCCTGGTTTGAGCAAACATAGCCTAGCCCAATCTCTCATTATTCAACTGCATTAAGAGGCTGCTGTACTGGTGGGCAATGCGGAGAGGAGGAGGGGTGCTAGTATGAGGAGTGTCTCGAAACTGTGGTCTGGAAGTTATGAGTCCCAAGGCTTCACGCACTGCCCTATTCCAACCCCCGTTAGTAGTAGAATTAATATTTATTTATAGTATCTAATTTAGCAACTGATCCATGGCAGATTTAGCAAAGGGCTTGAGTTTCCATACTAATGCTTTCATTGCTGAATAATAACATAATTCAGGGGGCAAATCAAAATCATCAAAATATATTAACCAATTACTTCCCATATCAAAACCCAGTTAAAAATGTATATGCTTCAATAACAAAAAATAATTCAGATGCGAACGAAAATGGATTAAATAATATTGCTACAAAGCTACATCATAATAATCTCACTCAAAATTTGCTTCTTAAACTATTCTATTAAGAACAAATGTTTAATCCTGTTTATTAATGACTCTTGTTCTGTTGTGCAGTAATTAAACAGTAGATGGCGATAAAGGACTTTCAATCGTACAATCGTACAACCAATGTTTTGGTTGTCGGCAAGTTGCTAACGACTTAGCCCGTCGTTCTTATGTTACATCTGTGTGTTTAGAATTTTTAGTTCATCCACCAAAGGCCGCGACAAGATTTCACATATCTCTTTGTTGATTTTGCCTATAAATCCATCCGGCCATTTTAGAGGTCACCTCGAACATGACTCGGTGCTTCATTTCTGAAAGCGGAAGTTCCAATAGAAGAGACGTGACTTACCGAGCCAGCTTCTGTTCAAATACACAGACACAAACACTGGCGGGACAGTGAAGAAGTCTACCACCGAGTTCACCTCCAGCCAGAACCACAGCTTATCGTTGGCTGCAATGAACTGAAAACAAAACAAAAAAAACAAACAGGAGCAGTAATGTACATTTCATTTCCTGTGTTGTCTATTCGTATATTTTAACCATTTGGAGTAAATGAGCATCATAAGGTGGATATAGAGTAGTGCAAGTTGCCATGTTCAGCGTCTTATACCACAAACGTGAGAAGATACATTCGATAATATTTAATTTAATATTTTTATTTTATTTTTTGCAACTTGTCCTCTGCCCCACCCAACATACACAACACACACAAAACTATTTAAGTTGTATTTAATACAAACACCGGCCTCTACTGCATGGTCTGCAGTCTGTTTTAAACGACCACTCCCTCTTCAATCTGCTGTCTAGTACGTTTGGTTTCTGAAACATTTGGTTGTGCTACATCCACAGAGACTTCATTTTTACATTGTCCTCTGTGAACTTTCACCATCTCTGCTCTGTCTAGATACATGTGACATGTCTGCTTTGCAACCAATGTGCAGGAAAACAAAGTACAGGTTATTGATTTTTGACCAATTTCTGACTTCTATAGCTTTAACGTACTGAATTATTTGTGCTAATATTAATTAGAATTTATATTTAAGGACTTGTACAATGGGATAAAATGACATATTTAGACATCCCTTACAAGATCATGTAAAAATCTGTTTAAAAAGCATGGTAAAAATTATAAACTAAACAAACCTTGAGAATCATGTCCAGAACATATTGTGCTATTATGACCAGTAATGTGTTTATTCTAGTAAAAAATATTTGGTGTCAGGCAAAAATTAAAGCCAAAAAACCCTGAGAGACAAAATATTTGGCAAAACCTAAACACCAGCTGAACCGCATCTACTGTAAATAGTCAAGTTTGTCTTGCACTTTATTATCCAGCTAGCTATTTTGCAACTGGCTTTATTTATTTTGGAATGAAAGCAAATTAATAAAAAAATAATATTTTGTTTAAGACATGAGACAGCCCATGGTTTGTTCATCACATAAAATATGTACTTGAAAGGTTATTTCCTTTCTTTTTTACTTACTCGCAGGCCGAAGTAAAGCAAGAAGAATACGTTGAAAGCCATGTCGATCTGTAATGTGAAATCTTTGTAGAAATTCTGACAGGATTCTATGGGGCTAATAAAACAACAGAAAAATGGTTTTAATTTTGTATTTCATACTCGGTACCATGATCTTTCTATGAAAGCTGCTTGTACAAGTATTTTTATGTAACCATTTAGAAAAGATGCATCCTGTTTTCTTGGAAATAAAATAATCTAATCTGAATAATGTTTATCAAAGATGCATTATTATTATCAAGACAGGTTTCTGTAGAAAAAGAACATGCATGGTTCTTCACTCAAGCAAATCATTTTGGTACAGTTTAATACCCCTGATTAACCCTTAAAGAACTGAATCCCTTATCTATCAGTCAATAAGTTTGATTTTACACAGTTTTAACCAACAACAAAATGACACAAAAATGCCACTTATGAGTAATTTAAAACAAGTTTCTGAGCAGATTTTTGTTTTAAAAAAACATTATTTTGTGACACACTGTATGGAGATATCAGTGAAACAAAAAACAAAATAAATACATATTTTTCACCAACAGAGTAACCTGTAACGATATTAAAGTTCCTGATCACCATACTGAAAAATAAACAATCCGAATCTATTGCAACACATATTTTAATCACATTTTTAAAATCTGATACTGAACTGTTGTTTTGTTCTGAAGTGTTAAGACAGCTTACATAAAAGGAAAATGCATATTATCAAAAAAGAAAAGCAAAGCAGAAGCAGTACTTTAAGGGTTAATTAATGCATGCAGGGTCTGTGTTCATTATATGTGTTCAAGCAGCCATAGCAAGTGCTAGCATTTAGTGCAATCTCACCCTTAATGCCTGTACCTGGCACTAAGAATCAAAATGGAGAAACTGTAATGACTTGGTAGAAAACCACATTTCAACTGGAAAACAAGACATGTCACCCTGTCAATTGATAACCGATTTTGCTTTTAAGCTATGGAGCATCTGATGCCTTAAAGAGTCACTCTCAGAAATGGCTCAACTATCAGGTCATTACACATGCAACTTGCTGACAGCTTGTTAGCTAAGAGATGCATCTGATACAACACATCCACTTTTGTGGATCACCTAAGGATTTGACACACAGACAAATAAATACAATTTTTATATCATGTCCTTTTGTCAGGCTTGAGCCCAATTTGAACCATTATTGAGAACACTTTTGAAGGAGTAACATATATAAATCAATAGTTATCTACATGCCCGAAAAAATATATACTGTAGATGTAATTTTTTTCTCATAGCTTTAACAATATATTTAGAAGGTACGTTTTAGAATGCTTCCCAGTATACAGTATATCTAATTGCTGTAGAAAAAAATGTATTTCTCCTGGAATGGCAAATCTAAAGGAAATGTCAATATTCTGTCAGACAAGAAAATCTTACCCAAATAAAATATTCATTTTTCTAATAATTAAAACAATAAAGTATCAGTCTGTTATTGGCATTGGGTTTTTTGTTTCTGACAGAGTTACCAATTTCCGGAAATAATTAATACATTTTTACTTTTAATAATTTGACATTTCTAAAGAAATGAAGGCTACAATGATGGAGCCTGAAATACCACAAAGCAACAAGTGTGAATCTCTGCTTCAGTGAATTAATTCTCTCCATGTGATACACAGGGTTTCAACTACTGTAGGTGCACTTTAAACAGGGATATTAAAAGGAATATTAAACATACCTGTTCAATTATCCTCATTTTTAGTTTTTCTTGTAACTTTCAAGCAAATGCATTCTTAACTTTTGTTTTGTTTTAATTACAATTTACGATTGCTTTGTCGAACAGTAGAGACTATGAATGATGGCATTTTATTTTTTAAATGGCAGTGTCTCAAGCAAAGCACTTAAAGGCTCAATATATTGTAATTTATTGATAGTTTTAAAATCAACTACTATTAAAATCATTAACTATTAAAATCAACATTTAAGAGGACAGTGAATAGTGGATTGGTTTAATTTACTTTGATTTTTGAAAAGTTATAAAATTTAGGATGCCCCCCTGAAATCTAAATTTATATACACCACATCACCTGAACATATCTTCTTCAAAAATGGTAGCTGCTTCAAACCATGGAGCATCACAGTGACTACAACTAATCCACTATGCAGCTTCCTCATACACACCACAAGTCTTGTAAAAATATAAAGCCAAAAAGTCATAGTTTTAATAATGAAATGATATACATTAGGGAAGCTTAAGCTTAAATATGAAATGTGTTGTGAAATGTGTTGTTTTATTAAACAAAATGAAGACAAAACGTAAAGATGTACTGTAGGTATACTTGAGCAATTATAAAGTATAATTGTTCTTTAACATCCTGGAGAATGGTTAAGTGAATGTTTAAAATGCAAACATGCAGTTTCCCCTTTTTACTACAAATTTTCAAGGCTTAGTTATTTTGCTAGTTAGTTGTTTGTGTCCCTTGATATCAAATAAAAAAACAGTTCAGGTGGGGAGCTGCGTCAGCATGCCTAGGCTGCAAAGGAACAAGTAAATGGTTTATTCCACGTTGAAAAGAGAAGAAAGAAAGAAAACAAGCCAAAATGTTGTGTTTTCTTTCTTCTCTTTTCAGCATGGAATAAACCTATTATTTGTTGCTTAAATAAAAAGCTACTGTTGCTTTAAATATTGTTAAAAAAACTCAGGAAACGCAGGGAGCTGTATGTTCTCAATGTGTGCAGAGTAGTCGCACAGATATATCAGCAAATGTTAAAGGAAAAAGTCAACTTTTTCACTGCCAGATGAAATTGTTGTGCTGTTGAAAATAAAGAAAAGCTACCCATTCAGCACAATACCCAAATAAATGACAGGTGGCACTCAATGCCATTTTGCCTGTGCATCTAGACAGAAATATCTGTGGAACAGCTATCAGAATTGTTGCTCTCCCAAGTCACAGTAGTTGTGTACTAAAACCTTTATGTTAGCGTTCCGGTGCAGATCAGTCTATTACAAGGGAAAAACTGGGTTTGTGCACAAGCCATAGCTACAACAAAGGAAAATTGATCCACTTGGTGTTCATGCTGTATTCATACTTTATATTCATTAATGTGAATGTTGTCTAAAGGGAACAGACTAAAGGCTAGCAAAAATGAGCTGCTTAAGAATACTGCACGAAGCAGAACGAAGAATAATGAAATCTTCGATACTTTGTTGATTACTTCCACGCTAATTTTAGGAGATCTGTAAAGCTGATGAAAATCCTCACAACCAAAAAGATGGTGGCATAAAGGTCCTTTGTTCTCCAACATACAGTAGGACATTATAAAACACAAAATATAACATTGCAAAATGTAACAGCTCTACACAGCAGCTGTGGACCTTGTTTCCCATACAAAAATGTATGTATATTTTATACTCAAAATGTGTGATTTAGCACAGTTACCTGTGAAGGTACAGTATATGAAACATCAATATCGATACTAAATATCAGTGATTCTGACCCCAGGGTGCGAAGGAAGCTGGGGTCCTGATTCCATTCGTAGGACATCTCGAAGTGTACGAGGTGACAATGCTCACTATTCCCGTGTCCCCATGAATGTTTTGTATATATTGGGTAGGTGGCGAAAAGGCTGTTAGAATATATATTTAATAAGAATACAGTGTAACTAAAATGTACTAATAGTCCTTCTTTAAAAGTCCTTCTCAAAGCCACTAACCCCAGTATTTGCATTCACAACCCCCTTTAATTCTGCTTTTTAATGACCTTTTCTGCCGAGCTTGAGATTTCATAATGTAGTACCACTCCAGAAATATTTAAAAAAACATTAACAAACAGGTCTTTAATATAATGTTTTTCCTGTGACGCTACCACAGTGCTGTAGTGCCTGTCTTCTGGCCACTGCAGTGCGAAAGGAAATACTCTGCTCTTTATAGCAGTGACCTGTTCTGCACAGATGGCTGTCTACTACACTTGTGAGGGCAATTAATCTGTAAAAAAATACATCTGTAACAAAGGATAATTTGTAGTAAAATGAGTACTTGTTGCATCCTCATGCAGCAGCACTATGTGGTGGTAAGAAAAGCAGCTCTAAAACACAGCATGCAAAATGCAGAAAAGAAGGAGTGTGGACCATCCTGGCAAACTGTAAATACAATAATGAAGAAATGAACACACTAGATTTGATCAAATTTTGTATTCTGAAGCTGTATTCATTGGAGATCCAGAGCCATTCTTCTGTAGAAATGAGCTACTAATATTATTATACTTTAACTTGGCTGATGCTTTTATCCAAAGCAACGTATTTGTGTCCATTTACAGAGCCGGGCATTTTACTGGAACAATCTGGATGAAGCACCTTGCTCAAAAATGTAACAGTAACAGCGATAAACTCCACTGCTCCATCAAAAAACAATATTAAATGTAAATTGAGAAGATAATAATTTAATCCCAATGTTGCTATTATAGTTACTCTCAGTTTTATCCACACTCGTTCCAGCAACATTTACAACTATACTTTAGTGGAAAGCTACAGACACACACCACAGACAATAGCAGCAGTCAATTTAAAAAATAATGTAATGCAATAAATCACACTTGTTTTTACATTTATTCTGATAAATACACAACACAGTATGTGGTATTTTTCTCTAAAAACAAAGTTAAAAAACACACACAAAAAATAAAGAGACAGCAGCTCTGACATGGTACAGTAACTTCCAAATGGGACCAACCAAAACCACACAGGGGACAAGACAATAGTGCTTTTGCAGAAAACTGAAAACTTAATGTTTACTAAGAAAAAGCATGTGAGACCACATAACTGCCTTAAGGCCAAATAAGACTGCACTACTGTATGTACAGCCAATTAATGACAAAGGACAGCTAACTGTTGTATTATCTAAACTTTCCATTTAACTTGAACTCTGCCTAACCCAGACTCTAGTCAAAACACTTACACTACAAGGGTTAACAGAATGTCTGCATAATCAAAGTACCTTAAAAGGCATCCATTCATAAATACCACTTAGCTTATAGAGTAAGGTTAATTTGCACTGTCAGATCTCTGACAGTATCAATGATCTTGACTAAAAAAATAATTTAT